TAGTTAAAATTTACAAGCACTATTAGCATCTTTTCACCTTGATTAATTATGTGTTTGTACTATTAACCAGGTTGATTTCTTCTTGGATTTTGTGATAATGATTGTAACAAACTGAATTTCGGTAATAGTATTACGACAATGCATGCTGGCTAATAGATTAATTACACACGTCATTATTAATTATTTTCTTTTTTTGGCAGGTTTTATTCTTTTTTCTTGTATTACTTATATACTCTTTCGGTCTAGATTCTAGAATAGATTGTCATATTGTTCCAATCACTATTAATATTATGACTTACGAGTAACTACTACAATTACACTTAGGGCTTGTTCTCAATGACTGAACTGAACTGAACTGAACTGATCTGAACTGAACTGAATTGAGCTGAACTGAACTGAACTGAAATGAATATTTTATAAGAGAAGGAAATTAGGAGCTGAACTAAACTGAACTGAACTGAGCTGAACTGAACTGAACTGAATTTCAACGTAAGAGAACAGACCCTTAATATAGTATATGTAATAACGTAATTTTATTTGTAAACGGTGAGAGTATAAACATATAATGTGGATTAACCGATTAATTGTTACAGAATATTATATATCATGCCCCATCCTCCAAAAAAGTTTACAGTTGAATAATAAATTCGATAAAATAAAATATACAGAAATAGTATTATTAGTGTAAAAATAAAAGGTTTACTCATTACTACAACAATATTTTATGTTAGATAATTAAAAGGAAATTGATTGTAATTATTATACAAGTATTATTTAAGAGCACAAGAAGAAAAAAAAATTAATATGAAAGTCACACAAATGATGGCATTGATTTTAATTAGGCTGAAGCATATAACTAAAAAGCTGAAATTGCTTTGTTTGACACAATTATGGTTGCACATTGCCATATTCCTTGAATGAAGCTACTTTTTGCCATATCCCTCGTTTTTTTTATACCTTCTTTCTCATTGCCTTTACAATAGATTCTTTGTGATTTTATTATATGGTACACACATAAAGTTATAATTTAGTTGATGATCCCAGTTTTTGAAGCACAAGATTGATTCACTAAAATTAAAAACTCTCCAAGAAAAAAGTTTCTAATAAAAGGGTGAAAGGATAATCTTGGCTTGGTTAGTATCACTCTTGTTATTCAGTAAAACGAAGAAAGAAAAATAGGGAAAGTAGCTTTTATTATTAGAATCTTCAAGCACAAGCTTATGAGCTAAACTCCATTAATGGAGGAGAGTTTAACTGCTGAGAGAGAGAGAGAATAAGATTCTAATGAATTGAAAATAAAAGCTATACTGTAGTAGTGTTTATATACTACTTACAGCTCATTACAGTAAAGAGTAACAAACTTTTTTTATTTCAGCTGGCAGAGTAATAACTAATTCTCAACTACTTTGCTGACGTGGCTACTATGTATACTTCACATCCCCCCTCAAGCTTGGGGTGTAAACATACCAAGCTTGGACTTGAGCACATTGAACTGCGGAGAAGGAAGAATTTTAGTCATAATATCAGCTAATTGAGACTGAGTTGGCAGATATGTCAGCTGAATAAGTCCCTCAAGAACTTTCTCCCTAGTGAAGTGGCAGTCAATAGCAATGTGTTTAGTCCGTTCATGAAAAACTGGGTTCTTGGCTGTGTGTAGAGCAGACATATTATCACAGTGAAGCTTGACAGACTGCAAATTCTTGATACCAATCTCCTCTAGTATCCTAACCAACCAAGTGACCTCAGAGGAAGCAGAAGCCATAGCTCTGTACTCTGCTTCTGATGAGGATTTAGAAACTGTAGGCTGCTTTTTGGACTTCCAGCTTATAGGAGAACCCCCTAACATCATAACATAACCAGAAACATATATTCTAGTTTCAATGCATGCAGCCCAGTCTGAATCAGAATAGGCCTGCAAAGTCAAGTCAAGACCACCTCTGAAGATAATGCCTTGTCCTGCAGTAGCTGAAACAAAATTCAGAGTATGAAAAAGAGCTTGTAAGTGAGGTTGTCTGGGAGCCTGCATGAACTGGCTCAGATACTAAACAGAAAAAGCCAAGTCAGGCCTTGTATGTGTGAGGAAGTTTAACTTCCCAACCATGCATCTGTAAAAAGAAGGATCCTCCAATAGCTCACTATCATCAGTTTGCAACTTTAGAGCCAAAGGGAGTGGAGTAGCAACAGACTTAAAATCCACAATACCACAACCTTCCAATAGTTCCCTAGTGAACTTAGCCTGTGACATAGTCGTACCACCAGAAGAGTAACCAATTTCCATACCCAAGAAGTAACTCAGGACACCAAGATCCTTAATGCTGAAGGTTGTATGTAAATGAGATTTCAAAGTTTGAACTTGCCCCAAATCAGTGCCTGTGACAAAAATATCATCCACATAGACTGCTATAATGGTGATATGACAATCAGAAACCTTCAAGAAAAGAGAATAATCATTTAAAGACTGTTTATAACCCAAGAACTGTAACTCAGCAACAAGATTTTCAAACCACTGTCTGCTGGCTTGTTTTAAACCATACAAGGATTTTCTTAATCTGCAAACCTTGTGTTCTGGATTAGGAACTCCCTCAGGCATTTTCATATACACTTCTTCATGGAGATTACCATGTAAGAAGGCATTATTAACATCAAGTTGGAAAATAGTCCAGCCATGATGTGTAGCCAAAGCAATTATACTTCTGACAGATGCCATCTTTACTACTGGAGAGAAGGTTTCTTCAAAATCCACACCATACTTTTGATTAAACCCTTTAGCCACCAAACGAGCCTTGTATCTTTCTATTGATCCATCTTTCTTCAACTTAATCTTATAAACCCACTTACTACCAATGGCCTTTTTGCCTTTGGGTAGATCAACCACTTCCCAAATGTTATTGTCCTGTAAAGCTTTCAATTCCATATCCATAGCAGATTCCCAATTCAAATCACCTGCATCTTCTTTATATGAAATAGGTTCTTTCAAAGAAGCAACCTCAGCAATAAAAGCCCTATGCTGAACAGGAAAGCTGCTAAAAGAGACAAGATTACACCAGTGATAGCTACTTTCTGTCACAGCACCACCACAAACATATTTTGACATCCAAGCAGGAGCTTTCTTAGGTCTTGTAGAATGTCTAATCACAGATGGATTAGCCTGGTCTGTCATATCAACCAGATTAGTCTCTAAGACAGAACCTGAGTCACCATGAGTTTAATCAGAAAAGGATTGGGATGAAGAAATTTGTGGAGAATTTGGAATATGTACAGGAGAAGAAATGTGTGAAGAAGAAGATGATGGGATTTGAGAAGAATCAATTGAATGGAAAACATCTGGAGTATCAAAAGAGAAAATGGAAGGAAAAGGAGTGTGAGCAGGAAGAAAAAATGGGCTTGGGGCAGACTGAGGAGAAGAAGAAATTTGAAAGGGAAAATGTCTTTCATGGAAGACAATGTCTCTGCTCACAATAATTTTTCTAGATTGCAAATGTAACACCTTATAGCCTTTCTGTGTAGGAGAATACCCAACAAATACACAACTGTCAGCTCTAGAATCGAGCTTTCCTCTATGTTTCTTGGATGTAGAAACATAGCATAAACACCCAAATGCTCTCAAATGTTCAATTCCAGGTTTCTGATCATAAACTCTCTCATAAGGAGTGACATTCCCCAAAGATACTGAAGGCATCCTTTTGATCAAATAAGCTGCACATTGAATGCACTCACCCTAATAAGAAATGGGGATCTTGGACTGAAAATAAAGAGCCCTACCAACTTCAAGCAAGTGCTTGTGCTTTCTCTCAACAACACACTTTTGTTGAGGTGTGTCACTACAACTTGTCTGGTGAAGAATACCTCCAGACTTATACAAATGAAGTATAGCACCGTCACATAACTCCTTAGCATTGTCTGTTCTAATCACTTTCACACAAGCATTAAACTGATTCTCAATATACTTCACAAAATTTGTCAAAATTTCAACAGAATCTGTTTTAGATTTCATCAAATGCACCCAAACAGATCTAGAAAAGTCATCCACTATTGTCAAAAACATGTTACACTGATTGTGAGTCATAGACCTATATGGTCCCCATACATCAACATGTAACAACTCAAAAGGACTGACAGTTTTAATGGAACTATGAGGAAAAGATTTCCTATGTTGCCTAGCAGCAGGACAGATACTACATATAACCTCATCTGTCACTTTATTACAGTCTACCTTGTCTTGTACAAGATTTAACTTTGTGAAAGGAATGTGACCTAGCCTCAAGTGTAACAACTTGGCATGATCTAAAGCACTTTGTGAAAAACTAGAAACTGAAGAAGCAGCACTTCTGTCAGGTACCTCAGAATCACTAGCAAAATACAGGCCATTTCCCACTCTACCAAGAACAAGTGGAGGAGTCAAAGTGTGTTGTCCCTGAACACTACACTGATCAGTAGTAAATTGGACAGTACACTGATCATCTTGACACAATTTATGTACTGATATAAGGTTGAACTCAAAACATGGCACAAATAAAACATTCCTCAAGATAATTCCATTAGGTAGCTTAACTGTACCCATATGTGTCACCTTTACCTTTGTTCCATCTGGTATTGTTATATGATTATTCAAATCATGAACAGCTCTATAATCAACAAATAAATCCAGCTTATGACACATGTGGTCACTTGCCCCACTGTCAACAATCCAACCATTACTATAAGCAGCAGATAAAAGACAGTAATTACCTGCAAATAAGGCATTCCCATCTCCTGCAGCACTTACTGAATCCATCTTCTGTCTGTTCAGAAAAGACCTGAACTGACTAATCTCTTCCTTTGTGAAATATGCACTTGGATCAGACTGAGAATCAGAAGACCCAAACTCTTCAGTTCCAGAATCAGCATAATGAGCAAACTTCTTGGCACCATAAGACTGTTGTTGTCCTGCCTTATACCCAGGTGGATAACCATTCAACTTAAAACACCTTTCCATACTATGCCATGTCATCTTACAATGATCAAAAATAGTAATTAATTGCTCTCTTAGTCCTAGTATTCTTATTGTACTGATTATTGCCCTGGTATCCTCTGCCATAAGAACCCTTGTTATAATTCTGGTTTCTATCATCAAACCTTCTTCTATCAGCTGCAAAAGCAACAGGGTCTGAGGGTTTCTGATTTCCAGCACTCAAAGCTCTATGCCTTTCTTCTTGCAAAACCATCCTATAAGCCTGAGCTAGAGTAGGCAAACTAGGCATCATTAAGATATTTGACCTAACATTAGCATAATTGTTAGTCAACTTCATCAAGAAAACCATCAGCCTCTGATCTTGCTGAACCTTGATATACTTCTAAGTCAATCCACAAGTACAAGAACTACACACACAAGTAGGCAAAGGAGACAAATTATCCAATTCATCCCAAAGTTTCTTCAACTTGTTGTAATATTCTGAAATAGACAAATCATCTTGTTCTGTGCTAGAAATATCTTGCTGCAATGAATACAACTGTGCAGAAGATGCATGACCAAACCTCTCTTCTAAATCCAACCATATCTCCCTAGCAGTATCAACAAACAATATACTGCCTGCAATCTGAGGGTCTAACACAGCAATGATCCAACCTATAACCATGCTATTACATCTATTCCAAGCCTTAAAATCAGTAGAATCAACACTAGGCTTAGGCAAAGAACCATCAACAAAACCCATTTTGTTCTTAGCAGTCAGACCAATTATCATTGACCTCTTCCAATTGCCATAACTAGACCCATCAAACACATTCGAAACAAGTTTTAACCCAGTGAAATCAGACGGATGCAGGTAATAAGGACTAGAAGGATCTAAACTCAAATCTCTTTCAGGTTGAGCCATTTTAGAGCAAGAATTGCAAGAAAATCAACCAAAAAAACAATCAAGAACTCAAGAAATCGTACAATCAGATTTCAATTTTTCGCCCAAAAAATCAAGAATCAAATAAATTCTTCAAAGAATCGCAACCCAGACAAACAATTGCACAATCCAAAAAATACTGGAAATCAGAGGGTAGAATAATGCCCAAAAAATTCAGAACAGAAACAATACCAGAATCAACAAATTGATGCAACAATGGCGACGAACTTTACGAACTCGAGAAACGCCATTAACGAAGCTTCATCTTCCAAGAAACGAACCCAGATGCTCTGATACCATGTTATTCTGTAAAACGAAGAAAGAAAAATAGGGAAAGTAGCTTTTATTATTAGAATCTTCAAGCACAAGCTTATGAGCTAAACTCCATTAATGGAGGAGAGTTTAACTGCTGAGAGAGAGAGAGAATAAGATTCTAATGAATTGAAAATAAAAGCTATACTGTAGTAGTGTTTATATACTACTTACAGCTCATTACAGTAAAGAGTAAAACTTTTTTTTATTACAGCTGGCAGAGTAATAACTAATTCTCAACTACTTTGCTGACGTGGCCACTACGTATACTTCACAACTCTACCTATTATTAAGATTCAATGATAAATTTTGGCATAGTGTTTGCAATCGTTATAGTGCAACACAAAGAGTAGATATATGTAGATATAGTAGAACTTTTTTTTTTGTCAATGATTGGCACGGCCTGATACTTTATTACTCCGTATATCTATAATAAAACACAGATACACCACATTTAAATATTTACCCTCAATGTTTTACCGATAGATTATGATCATTATTAAGCTTTTCATTGGTATGCTTATAGTGGATACTAATGATAGACTTTTCACTACATTGGTGAAATAAGAAGCAAATAAAGTCATTTATATATCTATAGATTGGTGTTAATTAGTTTATATTTTCTTCTATGCGTTCCCCTTTTTTTACCCTTTGAAAGGTTTTAGTGATGATGGGATAAAAAGATGTTGATAAACTACTTAACTAGAAGGCTATTTGGAGGACACCAAGAACCGAGTAAAAGGACAATGATAATTGTGATTGTAACTAGGAATTTGTCTCTAATACTTGATCAAGATGTTGGCCAACAAACTACAAGATAAGTTTTATTGTTCAACTATATGTGGTTTAAAAGACAAGTATATGATGACTATGTAGCTAGCTTATGACATCTTTGAAATGTGCATGTCAAATTTTAAGGAACAAGCAAGTCAACTTGAGAAAATTTGACTTTATGGAATACTACCCAAAGATAGTAGCCGACATCAAGCATAATGAGCCAACAAGGACTTAGTGTTCTTAATCCTTAGGCCCATTTTGTAAATCGTGAAGATAAATTAAGGTAATGGAGATAAATTTACATCCAAATTTGTAGGAGAAACATTGTCAAAATAAAAAATTATAGGAGAAACAATCAATGTTAAATCTCGTACGTGGTAGTTATAGTTAATCCTAGGGCCAAATTATTCGCTTGTCTCTTTTTCTTCACAGTTTTTCATTACTCGGTATTATCTATTGTTGTTTGGAAGCTCGTATTGGATTGATGGCCGAGGATGATATTGTATTAATATAGACATTATACATTAGAATATAACTTTGCTTATCAAATTACACTTTAACTTATTCTGCTTTTTGGAAATATTAAAATCGACTACCTTATAGATTATTGGTGTCATGGTGTGTATAATATTAATTGTGTTAGAATTCTAATATGTCGATAGAAAATAGACCTTAAATTTTGGATGTGTGAAAATATAACATTTCTCTATAATATTGGATGTGAAGAGCATTATTTAAACTCCAAAAATTAAAAAGACATTGCTAACCTTCCCTCAAGTTTATGTATGTGATTTCTATCTTCTTATGTGGTTTGAAAGTAAAATCATCTTTAGTCATCTTTATTTCTAAATAGTGGAGTCCTTTTTTTCCACTTGATGGTTAATGTTTGAAACTTTCCCTATCAAGTTAGTCAAAGAATTACTCGATGACAAAGTGACTATATAAAATCTATTGGATGGTAGTACTTCAATCCCTTCATTTAGAACGATATAGTTGCACCACAATACTACTGTACCATACTTCGTAACAAATAGAGGTAGTATATACGGAGTATAACCGATTAATAATTAAGGAGTAATAGGTAAATTGTACAATGTATCGATAATAATTATAAATTTTTACAAGTAATATCATAAAATAATTACTATAAAATTTGTTTTCAAAAAGTGACTTAAGGCCTGTTCAATTCAGCTTAATTTCAGTTCAGTTCAGTTCAATTCAGCTCGAATCAGTTCAATTCGGTTTAGCTTCTAATTTTCTTCTCTCATCTAATATTCAGTTCAGTTCAGTTCAGTTCAGCTCCTATCAATTCAGTTCACCACTGCTCAATTCAGTAAATATAAACGTAACAGGCCCTTAGTCTTGTTTAGTTCACTTTATAAAATTAATATTTAGTAAAAATAATTTTGAAAAATTTTCATTTCAGTATAATTAATTTCAGATCAGCAAAAAAAAAATCACTTCAGTTAAATTAATTATAGTTTAGCAAAAATATGGTGAAGTGAACAAGACTTTCTATAAGGCTATAGTCAAAGAGGAAACAAATTAGAATTAATTTTAGTTAAGCAAAGATAAGATTAAGTAAACATAAGTTTATAAGGCTTTAGAGTCTGTTCACATTTACTGAACTGAGCTGAACTGATTGAAGCTGAACTGAACTGATTGGAGCTGAACTGAAATGAATAGTTTATGAGAGAAGGAAATTAAGAGCTGAACTGAATTGATTGAAGCTAAACTGAACTGAACAGAACTGAAATTAAGCTGAAGTTAACAGACCCTTAGACAAAGAGGAAACTAATTAGTGTGTGTCTTAGGCAATATCGCATGTCCAAATATTCACGTAAACACTGATTAATTAGAACAATGGGTCCAATATTTAGACAGCATGCAGTCACTAAATACTACTAGTATTTGGTAGACACAATCAAACAACAGCAGAAAATCCGTTAGTAAATGGGCATGAAACAATATTTGTTACCCAAAAACTTCCTTTGTGGGATCATTTGTAATGATGAATGAGTTTGTGTGACCAAATTCTTTTTGACTTTGAATTGATTTCCAATTGACTAGTTTTCCTTTATAGTCATCTAACTCGCAAGTCACTACTCACTAATGTCTAAATCAAGTTAAAAATGCTAAAATTGTTGTAGTTGCTAAATCAAATCATAGAACATGGGTGTTCCATTTTTGTGGGACTCTCTTTATCACGCTCCAAGGATAGAGAACCTACTCATAACCATAACTAGTCTTGCCTAGACAAGTTTTAATACCTCATGATGTTTATTTTGATTTTGATGCTTGAATTAACAAGCTAATTACTATATGTTGTTGTTAAAGTTAGATACTCATGCTAGAAACATCGATAAATACGTACGAGGTTAACGAGAGACTACACACACTTTGAAAGATTGAATTACAAAATCGTTCATTTATCATTTAGATATGGTTTATTGTAGTTGAATCGAAATGAACTAAATTCAATTTGTAAATATGACCCATCTTTTACTTCACCTTTACTTATACTTTCGAGTGGAATGAGTACATTAGTGGAATGAAATTAGGTTATCTAACATGCCACGAACTTTCATATAAAACAATTTTTAATTTGAGCAATCATCAAATCCATTTCCAAGCAAAAGTTTATAAATTTAAATAGATATCAATCAATTTTGATCATTATTGAATCATCAAAGATCGAACCATCAACTAGTGTCAGTATTTGTTGTTAAAATGCAAAAATGTTTATTCTTTAACAAAGAACAACATTATATACACATATTTTCATCATTCATTGACAATGTACTAGCTCCGTACATCGTCCACATGTAGACAAATCTAAGTTTTACTAATTTAGAGGAATAGGTTAGAAAATTAAGCTATAATAATATATGACTTAGATTCTTCAAAATTACCCAAAATAGAAATTGATTGGCCTCAAAAAGAGGCCCAGACAATAACCAATGGACCTCACTTAATGACCGATCAACATGAACCCATTTTAAATCGTTCATATGGCAAATAAGTATATTACGGTTCAATATTTAATCAACAAAAATTAGCTCATTTTACAAATTGAAAATTAAATCCAAGACATTACAAATCAGGAAAAAAAAATTAGCTACTAATTCGGTTTTTTTATTATTATTGCAATTAAATCATAACCATAGTAAAAAGGTAAAAACACAAAGCTAATTAGTAATTACCCCTCTTTGGAGCGTGATATGTCATCAAATCAATGAAGCAAAACAACACAATGTTGCTGGTGTCACAAAATAAGCAAGAAGTTGATTTGAATGATTTCAGATGTTATGCTGACAAAAAGCCCACAAACCAAGTGGACCCATTTTACAGTTTTATGTTGGTTTAACTTCACTTGAATCCAAATAAATCACTTTTTAGCTTTTTATATTAGTTATATTGCATGCCACATAGGAGTTATTTGGATAAATTTAAAGAATAAAAAAGTTATATTTTTTTATTAAGTGATAAAAACTTGGATAGAATTTATAGGGTAAAAAAGTTAGGACATGTTCTCATTGACTGAACTGAACTGAACTGAACTGAGTTGAACTAAACTGAATTGAACTGAGCTGAGCTAAATTGAACTGAACTGAGCTGAGCTGAACTGAACTGAACTGAACTGAGCTGATCTGAACTGAACTGAACTGAACTGAAATGAATAATTTATAAGAGAAGGAAATTAGGAGCTGAATTGAACTGAACTGAGCTGAACTGAAATGAACTAAATTTCAACATAAGAGAACAGGCCCTTAGTACAGAGTTTTATTTTTAATAAAATTTGGACAGATTTGTAAAATAAAATTGTCGATTTAGAGCTCAATTTCCAATAAAATACCAATATTTCACAAGTATAAGATAAATTATAAGTTTAG